TGGATTTAAATCCCTATTCTGACCATAACTACCTATAAGTCTCTAGATAGCTTTCATAACCTTGCCAAACTCAGTTTCCTTATCTGTAAGGTGGTGAGAGTAATACCGCATACTTCATAGATTGTTGTAAGGATGTAATGAGAATTAATCGATTCAGTAAATTTATTGTTGTTATACCATTGAGTCCATTCTGACTCATGGTGACTCCATGTGTGCAAAGTAACTGCTCCTTAATGTTTTCAGTGGCTGTGACCTTTTGGAACCAGATCATCAGGCCTGCCTTAGGTACCTCTGAGTGGGTTCAAACTGCCAACCCTTTGACTCTTTATGTGTATATAAACCAAACTCTCATCAAGTCAGTTTGACTCATGGCGACCCCTCTTATGTGTATATATGTATAGTTACTATTTTTTTTATTTAAAAAATTGGTTTATGTTTCCATAGTTTTTTAACGTTTATGAAACTTTTCTCATTCTATAATGTACTTTAGTCAACCCCCACTATTAAATATTTAAGTTTCCATTTTTTGTACTGTTCTAAATACTGTAACATTGAATTTCTCATCTGAATCTTTGACCTAATCATTGCTTATTTCTGTAGGATTCCATTTTATTTTAATACTAAAATTGGCTATTAAATCAAGAAAGCACAGGATAATGCCATTGTTTTTGTTTTTACAAATGCTTTAACTAGGAATCTCTATTCCTTGACATTTATCCCATTTATTGAGGGCCAATTATGTGCAACATCATGGGGATACCAGACTGAATCAGTCATCACGGTGCCATCAAACAGCTCCCACCCCATCGTGCAGAAGAGCAGGAAATAAGGCCTGTCATAGAGTGGGCAAGGGTTTGCATTAGTTAGACTGGACTGGTTGAAATTGATAGAAAAGCCAGACTATCAGTGGCTTAACAAGATCGGTTTTTTCCTCCCTCTGTTTTATAAACATAGTATCGAGCAGCTCCCAACTCAAACACTGTGGCTTCCACTTCATGGCTCCAAGGTGAATGCCTCAACTCTAGCCTTTTATATCCTTATTCCAGCCAGCTGGAAGGAGAGAAAAGCACCATGATCTTCTCCCTTCTCACTTCTACTTCCCATTGGCCAGAATTTAATCATATGACCACGGCAGAGGCTGCTAAGAAATGTCATTACTTCATCATTCATGTGTCCAGCTAAAAATCAAGAGTTCTTCTGTCATAGAATTTTGAAATAACAGACATTGAGGGACAAGAACAGTCTCTCTTGCAAAGTATTATAACAAAATGGACAGATAGATGAGAATGTTTTAAAATGAGAAATTACTTTTTACTGAAGAGGCTTTACATTGGGGACCTTGGTGAGTCAGGGAAAAAGGACAGAGAGTCTTGTAAGCCAGTGCTACTCAGAGTGTGGTCCTAGGAGCTTGTTAGATAGGTCTAACCCCAGGTTCCTGCCCCAGACCTACCTGGCCCGAATCTGGAGGCAGGGCCAGAACCCTGTTCTGAACAAGCATTTCAGGTGATTCTATAACTAAAATACAAGAACCATGGTCAAAGTTCAGGCAGTGGATCCAGAACTTGCTTAGGGGCTGCAGTGGGCTTCCCTCTGGTAGTGATCCTTTATTTGGAGGTTCTCCTTACTAATTTTATCTGTGTGGTGATGCCTTTTTTTAAAAAGTACTAATTTTAAAGGGTGAACATAGATTTTTAAAAAATCTTTTCTTGAAACACAAAAGTTGGCCACTGCACAAAGGACCTTGCGAGCAGCATCCTCTGACCTCCTCTAACTTCATAAGGGGGAGGCAGAATCACCGTCAGCAGCCCGAGGCTTACTTCTGTAAGACCAGACATGCCATCACCCTCCAGCCTTTTTACCAACTCTGACACCAACTGTTCCTCTTGGCACTCACTGCTCTGCTGGGTTTGATAATTCATTGCAATAGCCACACAAAACTGAGACAATGCTCATGATTATGGGGTTTACTAGGGAAGTAACAGGTTACAATTCAGGTTTGGGAACACTCTCAGGATATAATTCTTCAGTCAGGACAGTCTCTCCTTTGCTATACCCTGAGGCATGCTTCTGGCCCCTGGCCTCTTGGCCTGGCTTCTGCCTGCTGGGGCAAGTGTTCCAAGCTCTTTTAGCTCTGCCAGTAGGTGCACCCCACTGCATCAGCAAGCCTCCCGCCCAGGAACACTCAGCTTTCTCACTCTGTGGGCCAGATAAGCCCACTGCTCTGTGCCTCTTGGTTCCTTAGCTGGTCATCTCAGCTGGTCATCTCTGCCATCTCAAGGAGGTCCAGCACAGGGTCCAGCACAGGGATCTCAACTCCAAGGACACGCTCCACTCCACCTCCAGCTATTCCTTCTTGATGGCAGTGAGATCCCCCGCTTCTGCTCATTGTAAGCCTAGCAGAATGACAAAACTAACCAGTTCCCACATTAGAGTTCCATACACCTTATTTCCACGGCCCCACCCCCACAGGGGTGCCATGTGCCTTATTTACATTATTAAGCTATCAGATCCCCTTGGTGGGCCACAAACACCTTACATTTGCACAGTTCTACCAGTCACCTGGTGGGAGTCTCCACCATGCCTAAAAGAGCCATACCTAGTAATTCACTGCTCCACAGCCACCTCACATCAGCCCGCTGATGGGGTTTAGAAATTTTATTTGGTCCGTGGACCCCAAAGACCAAGAGTCCTAATCTATGCAATGGAATCAAGATGGCACAGGGTGTTTGGAGAACAGCCCTGGCTGTACTGGTTCAAGTCCATGAGGAGGCTCTTGGGAAATGGGGTGTTTGTGGAGGGACTTGTGTAAGCCAGTCAGGAACTGCTCCACTGTTTCCAAGCCACAGAGGGGCATGGCTGGAGCTTGGCTCTGGAAAGAGTAATATGGCAGTCGGCTGGGCTGGAGGCGGGAGAGAGAATTTATAGGCAGAAGGATTCTTTGCTCAAGAATCAGACACTGCTGTTTATGGTGCTGTAGTCAGCTTGCCAGTACCATGTAATAGCCAAATTTATTCCCACTCATAACCACAGCTGTCTGCCTGGCTGAACACAATGCTTTAAAAATGACTCTCAAGCACGAGCGGCCAAAACAATTCTCTTCAGTGACAGAGATGCTTGTACCAACTACATGGCAGCTTCACTTAAACCATCCCCTTGGATGGTAGCCATTGCCCACCTCTCCCCTCCTCCCACTTTTATAAATGCTTCAGAGTCTAGGAGTTGGGCTAGGCGACTCAATAGACAGCAGTGCTTTACAGCCGAATTTTAAATGCACATTGGTCTGAATCCAAGAAGGTCTTTCAGTGCTACAAACAAGGTCTGCCTCCAGATTTTCATTATCCATTTGACTGTAACTGGGCTCTGGTAGCATAGTGCCTAAGGCACTTGACTGCTAACCAGCAGGCTGGCAGTTCAAACCCACCGGCCACTCCTCGGAAGGAAGATGGGGCAATCTATTTCCTTAGTGATACTGCCTCGGAAACCCAAGGAGGGGTCGCTATGAGTCGAGTCCTACTCAGTGGCACATAACAACAACACAACAAGCAGTACCACAATTTTTCTTGTGATCTGAAGTTGGTGTCATTTCTGGACTTAGGGTACAGTAGATTTAGGGGACCTTTTTGCCTGTAATTTATTCAAGACCTTTGTATTCTTTGAACCTGGAAAAATGTGAGCTAATGCTGTATGCGGTAGCTTCAAGGTCCCATTTGCTGTTTGTGCCGGAGAGCATGGTTTCATCTCCTCCACAGGAAGCAAAAGACGTAATCTGTGATCCTTCCCTTTGGAGGATACACATGCTGGAGTGCTTTGTTCAACTTGTAAGAGGTATGGGATGGACCTGATCCTTCCACTCCTTCCATGCAGTCCCCCAGGAGGCCAGAATGCCTGTCAGGTCAGGCGCAGTGCATGAGGAAAGGCAGGCTGGCCCCATGCAGTGCATAGCAGCTTGCAGTCATTCTGAAGCATCAGGTACATACTGTCAGCAGTCACCGTCCCTAGCCTCATAGAGCTTAGTCTGGCTGGGGCACACAGGCAAACTTAGAGGGGCAAATGCCTGGGTATGGGAGGAGTACAGGGTGTGACAGGAACACGTGTCCCTGGGGCCATGGAGTCTATAGTAACTGGACATGTTGATGAAACTATCTTATCTTGTAATCCTTTTCTACTGAATGGTTGTCTGACAGCTCCAAGGCACTGTCTCCTACCGATTATTTAACTGCCCTGGCTTACTTACCTTCCCTTTGAAAGGAGCTTAAAGTCAGCCAAGGCACATGTTCCTGTGAGGCCTAAGGCATGCACTCACAGATAAACAACTTGTGTTTTCACCTCAAGTTAAGACTGGGCCATTCTCCCTACAGCCAGCTGAGGCTGCAAAACACCAGTCAAAAAATTGAAAATACAAAAATGTCCCTGACATGTCACCAGCAGCTCATAACCAGTTTCATCTCCCTGCCTTGGCATTCTAACTGCCTGTAGAGCAATTAGCATTTAATATTTGGTAATTAACATGCTTAATGTGATTCTGAGAAGTTCCTTGACATTTTCATAAAAACAGAAAGCACATTCTCGCCCACCCTTCAAGGAGCAAGGCCCAGTTTGTCAAAAAAAAAAAAAAACGTGCCAGTCATTTCTTGGTGCTGAATATGTATGTGTTGTGGGTAAATTTAGAAACTCGTTTAGATAAGAGCTCTAATTGAGCAGCCATACGCTCTTGGCTTAGAGAATCCAAAGGAAAATGGCTAAAGCGAGCTTGTCAAGTCGCGGGGCTGTGATCATTCATTTCAGGGAGCTGACCCTCAGTGCGCCCCTGACAAACCGCACAATCTGTTGAAATCCAACAACGAGACAGTGCGGCGAGAGATACATTCCACTGCGTTGCTCCAGTGCAACAGTGTAGCCCTTTGCCCGACAATGTAGCTGCCCGCTTCCATTTCTCCAGCCCATAGGCTGAAGTCCCGGCTCCGCACGTCCCAGCGTTGCAAAACTGCGCTGGGTGTGCAATGTCAGCTGGAGTTTTTCCTCTGGAAACCCGCACCGCCTCGCCCCTCTGCAGCCCCTCACACGGCCCGTGGACGCAATGCTCGGTGCTTTCCGATCCCAATAAGGGGAAGGGGCTCGGCATCGGAACCCGGAGGTGCCGCGCCGCTCCAGCCCGCGAGAGGTGGCAGGGCGGGACCTGAGAACACGGCCCGCGCCGGCCCGGGGCTGCTGCCCGACCCAACCCCACGTGGCCCCCCAAGCGAGTCGCACTAGCCTGCTGCCGCCGACGAACAACCCGCCCCAGCCAGTGGGCCCTGAGCTTCGGGACGGCGGCCAATGAGGACGCCCTGAGCGCCGGCGAGCGACTCGCCACCAATTGGCCGAAGCCCGGCTCCCGCACCACTATTGGCGGATGTGGGTCCCGCCCCCTGGCTGTAGACCCCGCCCCGCCGCCCGGGTTAGGTTGCGGCGCGGGCGGCGGGCGGAGCTGGTCCCGTTGTGCTGCGGCTCCTCGCGGCCTGCAGTCCCGGGCCCGCGCCCCGCG